CCTTCATTTGCTCTCAGTAGTGTTTTATGGTTTTCTGTGTAAAGTTTTCATACCTTTCATTAGATTTATTCTTAGACAGTTTATATTTTTGATGCTATTTTAAATAATATTTTTTAATTTCATTTCCTGCCCTGGCCAGTGTTGCTAGCTGGTTAGAACATCTGCACACACTGAAGGGTCAGGTTCTATTCCGGTCAAGGGCATGTACCTGGGTTGCGGGCACATCCCCAGTAGAGAGTGTGCAGGAGGCAGCTGATTGATGTTTCTCTCTCATCGATGTTTCTAACTCTCTATCCCTCTCCCTTCCTCTCTGTAAAAAAATCAATAAAATATATTTTTTAAAAAATAAGTAAATCTGATTTTGACATACCTCTGCTTAAAACCCTCCATTGGCTCTTCACTATCATAAAACGAGTCTAACCTCCTAGCCTCAGCATGTAAGGCCTTTTATAATCTGACCACCACAACCCCTCTATTCTTATCTGTTAACTCTCTCCCCTTCACTCTGTTACAGCCATTCTGGCCTCCTCACTCCTACAGGAACATACTAAACTTGTTTTTGCATCAGAACCTTTCTACTTGTTATTCTCTTCTGCCTAGAATGCTCTACCCGCAGAGGTCTGTACAAGTGGCTTCTTTTCTTCATTCAGGGCTTGGCTCATAGAAGCCATCTGGGACCACCCAATCTGAAACAGTTGGAAATATACCCTCCCCCTTACAGCCCCGCCTCCCCAATATCACTTGATCCTATTTGCAGCATCTTACCACCTGAAGCTTACATATTTTTATTGATTTCAGAGAGGAAGGGAAAAGGAGAAAGAACATCAATGATGAGAATCATTTGATCAGCTGTCTCCTGCACGCCCCCTACTGGGGATCCTAGCAGTCCCATAAAGTTGATGCAGGCGCTAGACACCCGGCCCGTTGGTACAAGTGGGGAGGAATGTTATTTCATTCTCCGCTGAAGAAAATACAAGGCAGAACTTCTGCCCCTGCAGCTGGAGGGGACTGGGGGACAGGCGGGG